CGGGCCCGGCCCGCGCCCCGCACCCGTCGCCGCCTCCTTGGCCCTATTGTTCCCCGGCGGCTGTCCCGGGCCTCCAGGCCACCCCGGGAACCCAGGCGGCCCCGACTCACGGCTGTGGGGTCCGGGAAAAGCCGGAAGACTGAGGCCAGCCCCGGGGGACTTAACCCCTGCCGTGCCCTGCCTCGGGGGACCGGCTGGACGCCGAGAACGCCAGGGTCCTTCTCCAGGGGTGATTCCCGGCTGAGGACCCGGGGACCAGTTCAGGGTGACTGGGACGGAGCAGGAAGTGACCCCAGCTTCCCGGGCCCCTCTAGCCTGGAGTCAGAACATCAGCTCTATGGGATTTAACCCTTTGCCTCCCACAGCATGGGAAAAGAATGGGGAGGGGAGCGCGGAAGCAAGGAGGGGGGCTGGTGACGCCCCTCTTCCCTGTGTCTAGCGGGGTCGCGCAAGATCAGCTTTTGCGGGAGCTCAGAGGCCGGCGAGGGGCCCTGGATTTCTGGCCGTGCTCTCTCTCTCTCTAACGGCTCGGCCAGCCGCCCAGTTAAGCTGATCGCGGATTCGGCCGCGGTGGGTCCCCTGAGACCGGCCTTTGTTTGGACTCACCCTGGGAGGGGGCTGGTATGCCTGAGCTAGTGACTAGGAGGAGCAAAGGTTAGGTGGCCCAGACCCGGTCCAGCCTAAGAGCAGAAGCTGAAAGGCCAGGCAAGACTAGCCTGGGCTACGTGGCCCCGCCCCCACCCCCTTTGTCCCCCCTTCCCCCCCCCCCCCCCCCCCCCCCCCCCCCCCCCCCCCCCCCCCCCCCCCCGTCCTGTCTCCTTAGAGGAGGAAACTGAGACCCTGGGTGGCCGCAGAAAAGCCAGTGTCGGGTCCCTGGCGACGGTGGGCAAGCATTATTCCCTGCATCCCAGGGTAAGGTATCAATTCACAGCAGGGCAATCCTTCCAAAAACCTAGAAGCCAGAGGTTGTGATGAATGCCTGTCATCCTATTGCTCTGGAGGCAGAAGCAGGAGCATCAGCAAATTCAAAGTCCGTCTGGTCCACAGAGTGCCAGGCCAGCCAGGGCTACATAGTGAGACCCTGTTTCAAGACAATACAACGACCTCCCAGGACCCAGGTAACTGGATTCCCCAAATTTTCCACCTTGTGTCTCATTTTCTCCTCACCACAATCCGGAGAGAGAATTCTGAATCATCCGTTTTACAGACAAGGCGATCAAGACCTGAGGTGTGAGGTAGAATGTGTAAGTCCACATTTTTAAGTGAACTCCGGAGCGAGGAGACCCGAGTTGAACAGGAGTTGAGCTTTCTACCCTCAAAAAGTTTAACAGTAGTCAGGCTTCATGACACACATACCTGTAATCCTCAACCATTAGCAGGCTGAGGCAGGAGAATCAAGAGCTGGGGTTCAAGGTCAGCCTGGGCTACACAACAGGACCATCTCAAACCATAACTAACTAAACAAAAAAGTTCCAGGCCCAGTGTGGGAGTGCATAGCTGTGATGCTAGCACTCTAGAGGCTGAGACAGGAGGATCACCGTAAATTTAAGGCCAACCTAGGCTACACAGTGAGAGCCCTGTGTTGAAACACCAATAAATAAATACTGACTTGTAATAGTGAATAACATGTTCAAGTTTTTTTTTTCCTTTGTTTTTCACGACAGGGTTTCTCTGTGTAGCCCTGGCTGTCCTGGAACTCACTCTGTAGACCAGGCTGGCCTCTAACTCACAGAGATCCACCTGGCTCTGCCTCCCGAGTGCTGGGATTAAAGGTGAGAGCACCACCACTGCCTGGCTAACATGTTCAAAATTTAAAGACTGCTCTACCTGAAGAATCCATGAGAAAATTGCTTCCGTTTATAAGCGGCTAGTTTGGGAAATGTAACACCCCCACCCACCCCCACCCCCCGCCCCCGTCAGTGATCTTGCCCAGGATAGATGACTTCCCAGACTGGGTGAGCTAATATTAAGAAATTGCCTCTATTGTTCTTGCAAGACAATGGGTCCTGGTAACTAACTACTAGCTTTGGTGTTTTAAAAACTGCTTGCTTGCTGGAGAACTAAGACACCTTCGGGATGTCTGTTATAAAATTAGGCACTGCTTACACAAAGGCAGGATGTGAGCTTATGCCCTAGCCCTGACTCCCCTCCCCCGAGAAAAAACACTTTAACTTTGTGTGTGTGTGTTTCCTTTATAAACTGTACTAACATCGGATCCAGACCATAGGCAGAAAATTCCAAGTCTCTGCTGTGGTCCTGGCCAGTAATTATTAATAAAGCCTCTTATTTATTAAAAAAAAAAAAAAACCAGCCGGGTATGATGGTACACACCTTTAATCCCAGCACTTGGGAGGCAGAAGCAGGTGGATCTCTGTGAGTTCAAGGCTACCCTGATGTACAAATCGAGTTCCAGGACAGCTAGGGCTGTTACACAGAGAAACTCTGTCTTAAAAAACAGAACAAAACAAAAAAAACAAAAAAAAAACAACCCAACAACAAAACACTGATAGTCAGACTGATGAATCTCTGAAAGACCCCAGACCCATAACAGACTGAGTGTGCGTGCATGTATGGTGTACACACATGTGCACGATGCATAAAGAAATCATAAGAGAATAAGGAAAGGAGCATCAGACCAGGGTGGTAATAGGAGAGCTGAGTATCTAACAACCCAAGTGTCAGAAATGGCAAAGGGATGCAGTTCTCTTGGTATCTAGGGTTTAGATGTGGCTTCAGGCTTCCCAGCACCAGCTCCCTTAACCCGCTTTTCCACTGGGCACTTCTCTAGCTTGTCTCTGGTTCTAATCTCCTTAACTCCTCCACACAATCACACCTTTGCTCACCTTGGTTCCCCATCTCCCCTGTTCCTCACATCCTGTGACAGGGAACTCAAACGTTCCTTTTTACCTGTCACTCTACATACATGCTATTGCAGCTTTGCTTGGGCAGGGCTCTGCCTTAGAGTTTACTGCTGTGTCCCCAGGGCCTACAACTATTGTAGCGCGTGCTCAATTTGTTGAACAGACTGCAAAATCTGGGCCCAGCCCTGGGGCGGGGAGAAACCCGAGAGCTGCTGGCTGGAGGTGCAGAGAAGAGGTTAATTAGTCCAGCAGAAGCTTTGTTTGTTTGCTTTCTGTTTTAGCTGGGTTAATTGCTACATTTAATAATCAGTACATAAAAGCCACGTGTAGTGTTTGCACCTGTAGTCTCAGCCAAATTGGGAAACTGAGGCAGGACGACCACTTGAGTCTAGAAGTTTGAGACCAGTTTGGACAACACAGTTAGACAGTCTCACAAGATTCACATCCGAATTCCCTGCTTCTCTGGAAAATCCAAAGGCGTAACTGAGTGAGAGCGAGGACATGCCCACTCCAAGTTATGGTTGAGGAGAAGGATTTTATTGTAGATCTGAGGGAATGTACAGCCAGAGGCAGCGCAGAGTCCAGAGCAGAGAAAGAAAGACGTAGACGAAATATGGCCAGTAGACTGAACCAGGTCATGATGGGTAAGAGCGGGGTGGAGAGTGAGAGAGGGAGGGAGAGAGACAAGATGACAGAGAGATTCAAGAGGGCAGAGAGAGCATGAGGCCGACATGGCAGGGTTGTATGGGAAAGAGAAGCCGGGGGAAGGTGTAGGGCAGGAGGAGGGGGAGAAGAGCAGCGAGGGCCACGGGCTGAGTGAGCCCGGCTGCCAGTGTGCACTTTGGTGGCCTCGAGGCACCTCAGCCTTTTCTCCTGGGTTTCTTTGGGGCCCGACAATAAGAATACATTCAATATGCTCACTTGTCACAAACTGGCTTTGGGAAGGGTAAAGGGGACCCTTCCCCAGGCCTTTTACTGACAAACCACTGGCCATATTTCAGAAATGATTTACCATCCTCCCACAGGGCCCCTAAATACTGACCTCACGCCCCAAGTGCAAGGTTGCTGTGAGAGTACAGTTACTGGACTGAACCTGGTCCATGTCCTGTGCCCCCAGGCCACGGATACTGCTGCCTGTTCTTGGGAGGATGGGCCTTAGCAGTCAGGTATGCCGCCCAATGAGATAGTGCTAGTGTGAGCATGTGGCAAGAATTAGTTTCCTTTCCCAGAAGAGGGCATCCGTTAACATTATGCAGTTAAAGGTCATGACCCTTGGCCCGTAGGCAGGAGAGCAGGGAGCCTCAAAACCATGTCTGGAGGACTTGCGGGCCTAC